AAAAAAAAAAAAAGGGTTGAAGTATAGGGGTGCCTGGGTGGTTCAGTCGGTTAAGTGGCTGACTTCGGCTCAGGTCATGATCTTGCGGTTTGTGGGTTCAAGCCCCCACGTCAGGCTCTGTGCTGACAGCTCAGAGTCTGGAGCCTGCTTCGAGTTCTGTGTCTCCCTCTCTCTGCCCCTCCCTTGCTCATGCTCTGTCTCTCTCTCAAAAATCAATAAACATTAAAAACATTTTTGACATATAACATTGTGTACATTTAAGGCGTACAACGGTGATGATTTGATATACATACATATTGTGAAATGATGACCATTGTAGGGTTAGTTAACATATCCATTGTCTAGTTACCATTTCATTCAAGGGCTTTAACTGAACATACTTCTGTATTAAGAGAGGCAATCAAAGCCCGACACAGAAGACCACACATTGCATTATTCCATTTATATGAAATGCCCAGAAAAGACAAATCCATAGAGACCAAAAGTAGATTAGTGGTTGTCTGAGGCTGTGGGGGTGGGAACAGGAAGTGACTGCTAATGGGCACGAGGGACCTTTTCAGGGTGATGGAAAGGTTCTAAAATTGGATTGTGGTAATGGTTGCACAACTCGGTGAATATTCAAAAATCATTGAGTTGCACACTGAAAACAGGTGAGTTTTATGTTATGTAAACTATCCCATGATGAAGCAGTTTAAAAATAAGAAACCATTGGTCTGGCCACACTGTGGGAAATGGATTGGAGTGAGGCAAGCCTAGGTGTGGCCAGAGCAGTGAAGAAACTTCTGCAAAGGTCCAGGCAAGAATTAGTGAGCTCTGGCACTAAGGCAAAGGCCGAGAGGCCAGGGCGGAGGGTTGGAGTCAACAGATATTTAGGAGGTCCAATCAATGAGGGTCGGTAAACAGATTGCCTGGAGGGGATAAGTAAGACAGACAGAAGAGTCTAGGAGGACGCTCTGGTTTCTGGCTTTGACAGGTGGGCAGATGGTGGCACTAGCAAACCTCACAGTACTTAGTACAGGGCCTGACCCTTAGCACGTGTGGGTGGAATGCATCGATGATTGAATGAATGAAGTGCATTCATGTCGTCTCCTCTCCTTCTGTTGCTCCCTCTCACCTGTAGGTTAGTCCTCTGGCCCCCATTGTCCTTATTTCCATCACCGCCCGTTCGGAGGCATGGAGCCTCCTGGGGATTCTGCTGTTGCCGGATTCACCTGGTCAGAAACACTCATCTGGCTTCTTCTCTCTGGCCTAGAAAGCATCAGGGTGCACAAGAGAATCTCTGGTCTGGGGTGGGGAGGAGAACACTTGGGAATGGATGGCCACCAAGGCCCTGGGGACTCTTGTCATGGCCTCAGGACTCCTCTCTCACGCGGTTAACCCCCACCCTTACCTGGACTCTTCCACTCACCTACAACCTACCCCCCCCCCCCCCCCCCCCCCCCCCCCCCCCCCCCCCCCCGTCATCAATCAGGGCTTCATCCTGAGTTCTCAGGATGCCCTGCAGTCCTAGGCTTTCACTTATGTTCCCACTTGCGTCAGTCACCTGTCAGTCCAGGGACCAGCGTCCCTCTGAATGTTCTCTTTGGAATGGCTGCCTCAGAACAACGTGGGGGGTGTATAGTAAAGATGCAGATGGCCAGCCCCCACACCTGACCCACTCGATCAGAATCTACAGGGCTGAGTAGGAGGAAGGAAGCTCTGCCCTGTTTCAGAAGTTTCCCTGGGGGTTGGGAGGTGCAAGAATGTGAGAACCACTGTAGCAGAAATCGTGAGCATGGATTAGGAGTGCCTGAAAGCCGGGGCACCTCGGTGGCTCAGTCCATTTAGCGGCGGGCTTCAGCGCAGGTCATGATCTCACGGTTCGAGCCCCACGTCAGGCTCTGTGCTGACCTGCTTCAGATTCTGAGTCTCCCTCTCCCATTTGCATTCTCTCTCTCTCCTCTCTCTCTCTTAAAAATAAACATTTACAAAATTAAAGAAAAAAAGAAAAAAGAGTGTTTGTAAGCCTGCCATGCTGCATGCAGCCCCTGGTGGCCACTTGACAGACAGAGATCCCTCCCTCCAAAGCTCCCCACAACATGGGCGGCCTTCCCTGATATTCATCCTTCCATCAGGAAAGGCACTCCAGCATGACCACTAATCGGATTACCCTCTTGCACAATCTTCTCCCCCTCCTCTTTCCCCCACTAAATTTCCACAGGACAATCAGTGCTCAATTGCTCTTTCCTCTGTCCTCCCAAGCACTTAGCACAGGCTGACACGCATGAGTATTGGTTGTTTACATGTGAGCTCTTGAAGAGCCCAGACTTGGTGAATGCCTTTGGAGTCGTAGCATCTAGGACAGGGCCAGGCATACAGTAGGTGCCCAGTAGATGGCTGGGGGTACTGCATCACCAATGAAAGGAGCAGGAGGCATGAATAACAAACGAAAGTCATGCATTTGGCTCTACAGAGTGACCACACTTTGAGTGTACCAGAGACAGATTTGCCCTCCTGGCTTGCCTAAGAGTGAGGTCAATAGTGAGGTTCAACGCTGCTGTGTTAGAACCCTGGAGAGGGTGGGAACACAGTGGCCAGCCTAAAGAGCTGTAGGGCTGACAGGGACCTTCATTCATTCATTCCTTCATCAACCCAATTTTTTTTAAGTAGGCTCCATGCCCAGCTTGGGCCCGAACTCACCACCCCAAGACCACGACCAGAGGTGATCAAGAGTCGGATGCTTAACTGATGGAGCCACCCAGGCGCCCCTCGACCAACCAGTTTTTCATGAGCTCTTCCCACGTGCTGGGCACTGCACAAGGTAAATAAAATAACAGGGTGAACAGGACAGACAAGGCTCCCGCCCTCACAGAGCTTACAGTTTAGTGGGG